TGTGTGTGTGTGTGTGTGTGTGTGTGTGTGTGTGTGTGTGTGTGTGTTCTCAGCTGTCACTCGGGTTTCAGAGGCCCCCAGTGTGACATCAAAGAGTACAACGTGCTCTACGTGGTTCCAGGCTCCGGCAAACTGCACTACGTCCTCATCGCCTCCATCATTGGAGCACTCCAGGTGGTCATCATCTGTGTGGTGGTGCTCTGCATTACCAGGTGAGTCATGCCCTAACACACACACACACACACACACACTCACTTTGAAACACAGACTACTAATGAGCCTGGCAGCAGTATTTTCCATGTGGTCTGTATTTGGGAGTCACAAGGGGGGAAATCCTGAGCCTGGAGGAAACAGCTGAAAGGTCACCTTGCTTACACCACAGAGAGAAAGTACCGTCACGCTCCCTGTGGACGTACACACACACACACAAGCGTGCACGCGCACACACATCCGAAAACATGCAGCGTGTTCGTACAAGCAAAGATACACAGAGATGTCTCTGTAGGCGTACAAACCTGTGTTTGAACAGACGTTTTGTATTCACAGTAAAGACTCACACACACAAACACGCACACACACACACACACACATATAGCCTGGGGCTTGTCTGCCTCCGGCTGACCTAAGCAATTTATGACATTTAATAAAAGATTTTTAAAAGAGTTTTGGCCGAGACAAAACTGCTCCTCTGAGCAAAGGAGAGGAGGAGGACGGGGGACAAAAGGAGAGAGCGAGTGGTTGTAAAGGGTAGGGGGGGGGGGGAGATAAAGAAGGAAAGAGAGAGTTATAACACTGAATACACACACTGTTCAATCAGTGTGTCCTGCTGCTCTGCGATATTTTCATTTAGAGCAAGAAGTATAAAAATACTCAGCCTCGTTAATAAGCCCACGATGCGTCCACACGGCTCTCACTCGTCTCAGTGGAGTCTAGTGAGTGAACACAATGTGAAGGAGTATGAATGAATCTGTACAGACAAAAGCTCACCGGACACTTTATGAGGTACATCTTTCTTAATTCTTCGTGGCACTGACTCAACGAGGTGCCGGAAATATTCCTCGCAGATTTCGGCCCATATTGACATGACGGCGTCTCCAGTTCCGCCACATCCCACATGTTGCTCTATTGCAACGTATCCTCATATGATACCTTACAAAAATACCTCTTTTTTTTGTGCGTTTTCCCACGAAAGTCCAGCAACATGTGTCAATTGCTGCCCGTTAAAATACTGTATGTACGGTCTTTTCAAAAAATACCTTCTGTCTTCCCTGGAAAGTACTTAGTTAGGTCAATGGAAATACTGAAATACTATGTTAAGGTTTAGGAGAAGTAAAATAGCAATTAAATAACCGCTCTACTGGTACTGAGGGCCCAAAGTGTGCCAAGAAGATATCCCCCACATCATTACGCCACCACCACCAGCCTGAACCATTAAATACTAGGCAGGATGGATTTTGTGCTTTCACGTTGTTGATGCCAAATTCTGAACCTCGTCCATATTTTCTCTTTTTCGGACCATTAGAGATGTTTGTTGTGCGTGAAATTCCCAGCAGATGAGCAATTTCTGAAATACTCAAACCAGCACGTCTGCCACCAACAACCATGCAACGTTCAAAGCCCTTTAAATCACCTTTCTTCCCCATTCTGATGCTTGATTTGGACTTCAGCAGATCGTCTTGTCCTTGTCTGCATGCCTAGATGCTTTGAGTTGCTGCCACGCGATTGGCTGATGAGATATTTGCGTTAACAAGCAGGTGACCAGGTGTACCTCATAAAGTGGCCGGTTGAATCTGTGTCTTATCGCTTTATTTGGGGGGCAGACTGAACTGTAGTTTTATCAATGCTGCTGGATTTGTTTGTGGTTCACGCTTGTTATAAAGACTTGCCATTCACTTAAAGGACAAACAGGCGGGAGTGGAAAAGGTCATCTCTACGCTCTGCCACTTGTGTATAACATCATGCCACATGTTGGAAAAGGTCTGCTCGAAAGGGATTCAGAGCAAAACATCATGTTGTTGCCACACAACTCTGTATTCTGCTACACATCTGAGAAAAAGACCCAAACTAACGTCAGTTTGTCCCTCAAAACTGAATTATCCCTTTGAGCTTAAAGCAGTTAGCTTCATGAGTGAGGGTTGCAGCGAGTTTGACTTCTCTGCCATGTTGGTGGAGGTTGTTGAGAGTACACAGGCTGAGAGGAAGACTTTAAGCACTGATCTGTGCTGGGAAAGGATTTTATCTATCTTCAATCTCTGTGTTTATTTACGGTGTCAAATGGAAACATCAATAACTTGGAAGGCAGTAAAGGACAATCGTCTTTTTAGTAAGGAAGCTGTGATCTATCATAAAATACACTAAAGCTGATGTTAAGAAGGATGAGTGCATGACAACACAAAGATTGACATAGCATATTGTGTGGTTCTTAAACTACCACTAATTATGGAAGCACAATAACCATTAACGTCCGAATTATTTGATTTTTTTTTTTGTGTGTGTGTGTGTCTGACTTTATTGTGTGTCCCCACTTCTGAAATTAAAAGTAGGCCATTATTTGAACATGAGTACATCCTGGACAGTTTGGGGGACTATTTTCAGCTGTGGACTAATACACGTTTGATGCACTAGTGAGCACAGCACCCAAAATACACAGCAGCAGTGTTCATTGTAGTGAGGCAACACGTCTCCCAGAGCAATGGTGTGACTCACTGATGTGTTTGTCGAGCAACAGTGGAGCTCTGTGACACAGAGGAATACGATACATCAGGCTTTGATTCTACTCAATCAATTTTGGCTTTGGTCTTTTCGTTGGATTTGTTGACAGTAAGAAAAATATTTCCAACCTCATCCTTTCAGAAATCAATTTAGGACAAGCGTACTGAGGTCCATACAAATATTCGAATTGCATCAGAATGAGCTTTCACAGCTGCAGAGTGGCATAGCTAACCCCCCCCCTTCTTCTCTCCTGCACAGGAAGTGCCCACGGACCAACAGGATCAACCGGCAGAAGCAGAACAACGTCCACTTCAGTACAGAGAACACCATGCGCGCCTCCACGCGGCTCATCTGAGCCCGGACACACACCGGACAGAGTCCCACCTCTGCTTTACGGAGCGCTGTGGCGTTAGATGTTCCCCCTCCCCGTAGGCCAACCCCGAAAATTAGGATCTGCTTTCCCCCCACTCCTCGCCCTCTTCTCTTCCAGTACGAACTTCAAGGATGCCCAGGGAGGATGGCGGTAAAGCAAGGAGGATGGCGGTAAAGCAAAGAGCTGGCGTACCAGTCAGAGATGAGACTCGCACATTTGGGGTATTGTTGACATCAGTCCCCAACTGCCACCAACCCCCTCAGGTGCAGATGTGTCTCCCTGTACCGTGTCACTTCCCCCCCAGGGTTTTTTCTGAAAAACTGAACTATGAGGTGTTGGGGTGGCAATGGGGATACTGAATGTGTGTGGGTGTGTGTGTGTGTGTGTGTGTGTGTGTATGGGGGAGTGTGTATTAGATGTGTGAGCTTTGGTAGAGGCGGGCTAGCCGGTGTCTGTCGTTTCTAGATGAGGGGGTCAAAGCAAAGCGGGGTAGCGCAAAGCAGGGTAACGGGCTTTAAATGAGTTGCGTGTTGTTTGGTCCGGGAGGGGGTGTGGGGGGGTGGGAGGGTTTTTCGGGGCTACACGTGATGCCTTTGCACCTTGTGTTATAGGAGACCTTTGACAGAGGGCACAATGTTATTATAGAGCTCTCTGTTCGGTTGTGACGATGACGTCGGCTTCTGTATCTTGGGTTCTATTTCCAATAGTTATTACTACATTGTCTTGATGGGGTCATTTTTCTGTAAATGTAAATAAATAATTTATATCACGAAATGTAACATGCTGTGTCGCTCTTTATTTGTGGTGTGGTGAACTTATTTTACAATGACCAGGCAATAACTAGAGGCTATAGTATCTACTATTGTCACAATGTTTTAAGTAATGTATATTAAAATTGGGCTAATCTGGTAACAATATATATATAAATAAAATGTATAACATTCTCTGCATTTAAAGAAAAACATTTTAAATTAGTTTTTTTTATTTGATGATGAAATATGCAAATGAGACATTGTCTAAAACTAACTTTTGGTGAATTTAAGAGAAATCTACAGACGCAAATAGACAAAGTGTAATAAACACTTAAATGTGTATTTTGGATGTTTTCTTTCCACCAGTCTTAAAGAAGACATGCTATTTTTATTTCATGGACACTTCTCCACTACACATTGTGCTTTTTACTCCACTATATTTTTATTTGACAGCTTTGTATTATGAGTTACTTTAAAAATGTGGAGGTTTTTTTTTCATACAGAACATATGATAAACTCACAGAAAGTAATGCCTTTACACATGCATTATATAAGTATAAGTCTATAAAATTGTCTCCGCCTTGACCAACTGCAGCAGTAAAATTCAATTCACTCAATGCATCAGCAAAATGTGGCTAATATAATATACGTACAGTTGTGTGAAAAAGTGTTTGCCCCCTTCCTGATTTCTTATTTTTTTGCATGTTTGTCACACTTAAATGTTTCAGATCATCAAACAAATTTAAATATTAGACAAAGATAACACAAGTAAACACAAAATGCAGTTTTTAAATGAAGGTTTTTATTATT